CACTTCCCTACCTACCTACCTACCTACCTACCTACCTACCTACCTACCTACCCACTTCCCTACCTACCTACCTACCTACCTACCTACCTACCTACCTACCTACCCACTTCCCTACCTACCTACCTACCTACCTACCTACCTACCTACCACCCGCGTACTCTTCCACCAGCATCCATCTACATGTGTGTGATGCAGTGTGAAGCTGACAGCTGGCTTGCATTATGTATCAGGACGTGAGACAGCGGCTGCGCTACCTGCAGCACCTGCCGCTCACCTGTGAGTTCCAGCTGGCAGAGCTGCACCTCCGCTCGCCCCTCGTCTCGCGCCGCACGCTCGAATTCTTCGCAGGTACGGCGCACGCGCGCGCACGATTGTCGCTTGCCCCCGCGTACGTGCACTTTCTCACAGTGAGTGGTGCGGCGTGATCGCGTTGGGAAAGGTGCGTCCCCATGGTTCGCACAGTCCTTGAAAAGTCCTTGAATTTGAGGGGAGTCCCTGAAAAGTACTTGAATTTAGAAAATGTTGATTTTGTGCTTGAAAAGTTCTTGAATTTCATGAAAATGTTCTTGAATTTTTAGAAAGAATCCTTGCCTGTAATAAAAAGAAATTTTGTACCATAAATAATGTGCAAACCTCAATAAAAATTTCGTTAAATGAGCTTAAAAAGCTATAGACACGATAGACAGTTAAATGATGATCACAAATTACAGTAAGTCAGTAAAATCAGTCAGTAAATCAAGGTATGTTGTAGAAGTGACAGTGTTTAGAAGGCTTTATTAATGTGATCCAGGTAAGTTTTAGAGGGGACAGTGATTAAGAATGGGGTTATTAAATTAATCCAGGTATGTTTTGCTCTGTGTATGAATTCCGATAAAATGTCCGATAAAATGTCCTTGAATTTCTGATAAAATGTCCTTGAAAAGTCCTTGAAAATTTTTTCAGTCCTGTATGAACCATGGTCCCGTGCAGTAGAACTTGTGATAGATGATATGAAGGATAGAGGAAAAGGGAAAGGGTGACCCACCACGCGTGCTCGCTGCCTTTGGCCGGTTACTGATAATCACTGTCTGCTGTAAACTTTGCTTGGTGGGTCGTTGCATGGTACACCAGAGATGCCAACCACTACGATTTATTCGTATTTTATACGAATTTCTATTCCTTTTGCACCACTACGACCAGTTTGTATCAAACTACGAATTTCACTGTGATCGAAAAAAATAATTTTTTGTCCATTTATTGTCATTTTTTACCCTCAGAATGCAGGAAATTGCATCTCAGAATCAACATTTTTTCCGGGGGGCATGCCGGACCCCCATAGCAAACTCGGGTCACTGATTTGATGGCCAGAAACTACAGATTGCTTCAAATATGTGTTGGCATCTCTGGTACACTGACACAAACACATGTGTCAACAAACCTAGCGCGTGATTTTTTCTCGCGCGAGACAAGAACGCTGTCTCTGCACAAGGCTAGTAACCTGTTATATATTTTCGAGATAGCTACGAGTCTATAAATATTTGCTCTACTGTTACTAGACACACACTACACTATTTCGCGACGGTTTGAACATTTCATTATCTCGAATCTGAAGATGTGCGAGGAGCACGTTTGCTGTTTATCCGCTGTGTTATAGCCCGTAACTCGCTCCGCGTACGTCAGAGATGCCAACCACTACGATTTATCCGTATTTTATACGAATTTCTATTTTTTTTGCACCACTACGACCAGTCTGTATCAAACTACGAATTTCACTGTGATCGGAAATTTTTGTTGTTTGTTAATTATTGTCAATTTATTGTCATTTTTGACCCTCAGAATGCAGGAAATTGCATCTCAGAATCAAAAATTTTTTCGGGGGGCATGCCGGACCCCCCTAGCAAACTCAGGTCACTACGTGACCCTCGAAATACTAATTTGATGGCCAGAAACTACAGATTGCTTCAAATATGTGTTGGCATCTCTGGTACGTTATCGTCTGTCTCACCTTCTCCTTTTTTTGCAGACGACCTGCATCGGCGCACACAGGAGCGTCAGCGGCGGGCGCGCGACGAGCGGCGGCGGGAGAGCGCGCTGAGGGAGCGGGCGGACGCGCGCATGGGTCGCTACCCGAGCGCACGCGTCTCCCTCACCAGCCGACGCGACTTCCCTGAGTACAACGCCACTGGGCTGGCCGAGGATTGCTTCCCTCCTGTCGTCTGCATGAGTCCACCGAGCGCCGGTGAGTGGGGGAGGGAGAGAGGGGGAGGAGGGAGGGAAGGAAAGGGAGAGGGAGGGAGGGAGAGAGAGGGAGAAAGTACAACGCCACCGGGCTGGCCGAGGATTGCTTCCCTCCTGTCGTCTGCATGAGTCCACCGAGCGCCGGTGAGTGGGGGAGGGAGAGAGGGGGAGGAGGGAGGGAGGGAGAGGGAGGACAATGCCACCGGGCTGGCCGAGGATTGCTTCCCTCCTGTCGTCTGCATGAGTCCACCGAGCGCTGGTGAGTGGGGGAGGGAGAGAGGGGGAGGAGGGAGGGAAGGAGAGGGAGAGGGAGAGGGAGGGAGGGGGAGAGAGTACAACGCCACCGGGCTGGCCGAGGATTGCTTCCCTCCTGTCGTCTGCATGAGTCCACCGAGCGCCGGTGAGTGGGAGAGGGAGAGAGGGGGAGGAGGGAGTGGGGGAGGGAAGGAGAGGGAGAGGGAGGGAGAGGGAGGGGGAGAGAGTACAACGCCACCGGGCTGGCTGAGGATTGCTTCCCTCCTGTCGTCTGCATGAGTCCACCGAGCGCCGGTGAGTGGGAGAGGGAGAGAG